AGAAGGATGGGCCCAACTAAGATGAGTGTTGAAAAACTAACAAAAGCCAGCCATTCATGTAATGATGGAAGCACAACCCTTGAGCATGTAAATGTCTTACGAATGTCTTGAACACCCGACTATAGACATATGGGGTAGAAGCAAGCCCGAAGGGTAGGGTGCAAAACTGCTATACTACCCTGAGATTAATGAAATGAAGATAGCATCTAGACTGACAAGATATCGAGACATGCAGGTAAGCATTCGTGATTTCTACCTTGGTCATCCATAAACCCGGAGAAAAAGCCAACCTGAGGGTGAGAAAAGATTGCATGGTAAATCAGGGTAGAATCAAAAATTGATTGAGGCTCAACAAATTGATTACAGGCCACCAGTCTCTGGAATAAAAACCTGTAGAAGGATGATTGACAGGTTCTATGACCTGTTGGGAGAGATCTTGTACCACCTCACATAGATGCTGACTATTTGTAGGATCCCATGGCAAGGGAAAGGAAATGAGACTCAGAGATTATGAAGGACAGTAAAGAAAGTGAAATCCAAGTCTCACTGATAAAACCTTAACAACCCACAAATCTGTGGCAATAGGTTGCCAAAGGTGAACAAAGTGAGACAAGTGAGCCCCCACTGGACTGGTACTCACTGGATAGTCACTGGTACTGTTGGAAACGTGTCCATATGTGTTGAATAAAATGACAAGCTGAAGAACCCCTGGAGGAAGGAACAGGTAAAGGCTGAGAAGTAACTGGATGGAAAACAGTATAAGAGGCATGCCTAGGCTCAGAATGCAACAAACAATCCACCAAAGATGAAAGGGTAGTGTGCTGTTGCACCACTTCACACAAGATCCAAAATGTCAGGAATATTACCAAAAACATCTCTGAAGAAAAGGGGACATATGTAAGTCCCAGAGATAAAATTGTGGTAAAAGAACCTGGGACAAGGTAGCATCCCTCCGTAGGAGATCCCAACAACAGAGAAACTACGTGTGTAAGGCCAGAGGTGAAGAAGACCAACGTGCCAACATGAAAGTAATAGAAAGAAGCAATCCTTCGAAAAACCCACTCAAAAAAGAAAATGGATAGTAGACAAGTATTGTATGAGAGTAGATATGGTAAGACAAAGGTGGGAAAACTGGGAATGGGATAAATGAACAGACCAATCAGGGTCTGCCCCACACATAGGCAAAATCGATTCTAACTGTTGGGAAACAGATAACCATCCTTATGGTAAGCCAATACAAAATGATCCAAAGCCCATGGAGGCCAAGGCATGCTGGTGCCCTCAACCACCTAAGAAACAAAATGCTCAGCATAAATTCTAATATCCGAGAAATGATGGAAAACAAAATACTGTGAGGATGAGATATCATATAACAAAGAAGGATAGGGATCATACGAAATAAGGTAAAGGGATAAATTAGAACGTACCTGAGAAATCATGTCTAGAATAGCTGTATTAGACATAGCTGACTACACACAAGGGGCATAAGGCAAAATCAGATGGCAGAAAAAGGCTGTCAAAATCCTCATCCACCTGAACAGGTTTGGCATTTTCAGGAGGAATGGGGGGCAAGATCAGAAGAAACAGGTTAACTCATATAATGATCAATTTCACACCAGACAATAGCTGATAAATCCAAAGCTGAGTCACTGCCACCTTTAGCGTGCGTGATTATGTTAATAGAAAGCATAGCATCCAAAGCGGTAACACGAACTTCGGAATACATTGTGTAAACTGGAAATCAAACACAAGTTGTAAATGGAAGACCAATCTGAAAAACTGGAAGAATAAGTTATCTGAAAAGTCGTGGACTGTGAAGAAACACATTTATATCAAAATCCACTTTGGAAGAAAACACCACTAAAAAAAAATCATGAAGTTGAATAAATTCAAAGAGCACAAAAAGAAAACGTCTTGAGACAAGTACAGCCAAAACAAGAAGTGATAGTTCGGTAGAATCAAATAGAAAGTCACATGCATCAGGAGTGTGTGTTACAGTCTTACTGGGGAGGGTTGTCACATGATGATTTGCAAGCAAGATGCAATTAAATCAATCAATTGTAAGACATGTGGGAGTTTAAGGCTTGTGGCATGTGTAACAGAATTTTTTGCATATAGGGGGAGCACTGAATAAGAATAGCTATTCATGTGAACAGAGGTAATGCACTGTATCAGAATACATTTTTCATTGTTGAAAAAAAATTTAATCAGGTTATCATTGGTATAAAATTAGACATTATTTTGTAAACAGTGATACTCTAGTTGAAAGAAGCTAACAATTTCTTATACTGAATCAGCATAATGTCAATTCAACGCATCTTTCTTACATATTTTTTGTCAATGCATATTAGGCTGAAAAAATTACTCATTTATGGCAACATTGCCAGGAAAAATTAGAATAGGAAGGTAGGATTTTTTATTTACTTGTTTTCCAAAAGTTTTTGTTATTAAATATTATTACATTGCACTGTAAATTATCCAAATAAAAAATGCTTTAACAAAATTCTATCAAAACAAAAATTAAGTTATTTTCAATTTTTCTTTAGTTTATTAACTGTCCCTTTAGCAAATATGCATTATTTTTGCCCTCTTATGGCATATTTACTTCCTATGAGTCCTATCAGTTATAGATTAAATTCCTTACTTCTTATACACAATTACCAAATAGACTTTCAATTAAAAT